TAGTTTATGCGACTACTAATTTGATAAAGGGAATGTATGTATTTTTGTACAGTCAGGATGTTGTAAGCCACCAACATCGTGTACATACGGGCAAGATCCGGTTATGATGGTACAAGATCCGGATTGCTACAAGTGGAGCAACGACCCGAATTTGCTATGCTACGAGTGTGATTCTTGCAAGGCTGGAGTACTCGAGTCCATAAGGAGGGATTGGCACAAATTGTCTGTCCTCAATGTAGTTATGCTTATCTTGCTCATTGGCGTATACTCCATTGGTTGTTGTGCATTCCAAAACACCCGTCGGGCCGAAACCGATTACCCGTACGGCCATAACCGTATGACCAAAGTCCGACCCAGATGGGACTTCTACTGGTGAGTTATTCTCACAATGATTTAATTTATTTATTTATCTTACTTTTAAAATGTTGTCTTAAGATATAAATTTGTACACAACGGGTGACTTTCCCTGAATCATATATATCTCGTGTTTTTTTTTTATTTATTTTTATCACTTACAGATTTCTTTTGACCATATATAGGTAAGATTTTGTTTAATCTTTCATTGGTTTTTAAATTTTAATTTTCTTTCAACTTTCATAAACTTTATTTTTTTTTTTATTTTTTTTTTTTTATTTTTTTTTTTAAGACAATTTTATTTTTGTTAATAAAACAACTTTCAATTCTTTTCAGGTGGAGATGGTGGCGTGATAGAAGAGAACAGCTTTGGTAGACTAGTAATTTTTTTTTTTAACGTCTTTTTTTGTTTTAGTTTGATGGAGCCAAAAGTGGTGTTATTTTCCATGTTTGTGCATGTTCTTGGTTCCTCTTTCTTGACAAACGAAGGGTCAACCCTTTTTCTCCTGCTAAGCTTGTATCTATATATTTAGATAGGGTTGTATCAATATTGGCTTATGGATATGTTTAAAAGTTTTGTAGAGTGACGGAATTTGGTTATTTTATCTTGAGTTTTGATATCATCAACTTAAAAAAGGTTACATTACAATAAACATAAGGTTTAATAAGTAATTACTCGGTAGATCAAGATATGTCACTTTTATAACAATTTTACATTCGAAAAATTTTCTTTATAAAAATAGGTACACGTGTATCGACTTGGACGACTTCTAATAATGATAAATGAACACTATATAGTATCTTGATGAAGAGAATGCCACTCAACACCATCTTAACTTGTTCAATGATTCAACATGTATATGGTCTTGCGATCTAGTTGATTTTATACAAATTATGTACAATTTTCTTTTTCTCCTATATGAAGTGCAACCAAGGAAGCGTAAATACCATCCTTAATACGAATCAGATTTTCATGCTTCCCTTTCTCTGCAACAACACCATTTTTTATCACAGCAATCGCGTCAGCATTCTTTATGGTGGACAATCTGTGAGCAACCACAACAGTAGTACGGTTCACCATGACTTGATCTAATGCATCTTGCACTACCCTCTCTGATTCAGCATCAAGCGCGCTTGTAGCTTCATCTAACAGGAGTATTCTCAGATTCTTTACTATGGCACGTGCAATCGCAACTCGTTGCTTTTGGCCTCCTGATAGTTGTACTCCTCTTTCACCCACAACAGTATCATAACCCTACATAAATTTCATTTAAGATCTTAATTTTTGTACTAATACGAAGTATAATCTTGTTCTGCTAGTAATATTATTTTGTAACAGAAAAAAATCAGTACCTGTTGCAAACTACTGATGAAATCGTGAGCATTTGCTAGTTTTGCTGCTGTTATAATTTCATCTTCAGTTGCATTACCTCCATTTCCATATGCAATGTTAGCTCGTATAGTTTCATTAAACAGAACAGGTTCTTGGCTTACGAGGCCCATCTGTTGTCTTAACCACTTTAATTGAAGCTTTTGAATTTCAATCTCGTCTAAAGTAATACAACCAGAATCATGATCATAGAATCTTTGCAACAGGGAAATGACAGTTGATTTTCCGCTGCCACTTTCTCCAACAATAGCTACTGTCTATAAAATCAATGATATAAATTTAATCAAAAATTTTTACAAAACATATTGTTTTGAATGATTTTAAGTTGCATTTGTTTTCAGACAAAAAAAAAAAAAAAAATCTGTAGTAAGGAGTATACCTTTCCTGCATGAATTGTTAGGCACAGGTCTTGAAAAATCTGGACTTCAGGTCTTGTTGGATATGTGAAGCTGACATGTCGAAGTTGAATTTCACCCTTGACATGATCAATTGTCATCCCAGATTCATCACCTGAGTTTATCTTAGACTTGCGATCAAGAATCGCGAATACAGAAGCAGTGGCACTCTTGGCTTTGCTGGTATCCGGAGCCAAAGAGCTTGTTTGTGATATTCCTACTGCTGCCATTGCAAGTGCAAAGAAAACCTGCAGTAGTATAAGATTTGTCAGACATGTAAACTATGATATATTACTTGAAATGTTTGCATTACTAGCCTAGGTTAATCGATCTCCTCTCACAACTTTATGCATTGATTTCAGTGTCACTTTATGATTTTACTTTAATTATTTAACAAATAAAAGAAAATCAATCTATTGTGAGAGGAGATATGTTTACAGATTTATCTCAGAGGTCAACTTGAATTTTCCCTTGCTTATATTTTGCGAGCAAAGGAGTTGATGATTAGTGAAGAGATGTGTACTTACTCTGAAAACATCAGGAAATGTGGTTTTACCATGGCCAACAAGTTGTGCTCCCGCGTAAAAACAAATGCCATACACACCAAATAGGAAAGCAAAGGCTAACCCAAAACCCACCCCACTGATCAATCCTCGCTTTATACCAGCTTTTATAGGGGCTTCACATTTCTTTTCATACAATCGAATTATCTTCTCCTCTGCACAGAAAGATGCAACTGTTCTAATACTCCCAACTGCGTCGTTAGCAACTTGGCTAGCTTCCTCGTACTTTTTCTGTTGAATAAACAAAAGAACGAACAATAAAAACAATTCTAACTCTCAGCAATTTATTCTAACAGAGAAAAAAAATGAAGAGAGGACCTTAGCATCAGCACTAAATCCCTGCATAAACTTTACTTGGAGGTAACCACTGAGTCCAATGAGAGGGATTAAGACAAGGACAATCAGTGACAGAATCCAGTTTGAGAGGAAAGCGATTAGCAAACCCGATAAAGCAGAGGATATATTCTGAACAAGCAAACCCAATGCATCCCCAACTAAGGCACGCACAGTTGCAGCATCAGCTGATAGCCTTGCACCTATGGCACCACTTGAATTCTCGGCCTCATCAAACCAACCAATTTCCATGTGTACTACTCTTTCGAAGCATAATGTTCTTATCCTTCGTATCAACTTACAACCAGCTACGGCAAAGAAATAAGTTCTAGCAGGATATGATATCAGTGCTCCTAACCCAATGACTACGAACATAAGGGCCCAAAACCTTGAGTCCTTTCTCAAGATATCATGTGGTTTGTAAAACATTTCAATCGCACTAGCAAATACTATACTAAACACAGGAAATACTGCGCCTCTAGCAATTGCAGATAGACATCCCAACACAAGTACTGGGATTTCAGGTTTGTTGAGTGAGGCCAAACGCTTGATAGAAACTTCTGATTGCTTTACAGCAGGTGATGACGTTACAATGTTTGCTTCAGGGTCTGCTGTTAGTTCAGACACTGCTGTGAAAGACTCGTCGTGAACACTACTTATCCTCCCTGAGGAACCTTGGCTTAAAGATCTTAATGATGATCTTCTTTGACTAGATTGACTCCACATTTCTCTAGCATCTGTTGCTTGTTCTGACTCTTTTTTCATTTCTTGTAAGCGTATTAGTTGAGAGTACGCCCCCTCAGGATCGCTGAGTAATTCAGAGTGCATACCTGAATTGTGTCAACAAAGCAAGCAAACTGTCAAGATAATTTAATAAAAAGACAAACAAAAATAAAATGATTTACACAATTTTGTATCAAACAACAGGTAGAAGCTAGCTTGCCTTTTTCAACCACCTTTCCTTGATGAATGACAACAATTGTATCAGCATTTCTTACTGTACTCAAACGATGGGCTACAATAATAGTCGTTCGATTTACCATAATCCTATCTAATGCTTCCTGCACAATCCTCTCAGATTCTGCATCAAGTGCACTTGAAGCTTCATCCAAAAGTAAAATCCGCGGATCTTTCAGAATGCCCCTTGCTATGGCAACCCTTTGCTTCTGCCCTCCTGACAGTTGTGTTCCATGTTCACCAACCAATGTGTCTAGTCAGTGGCGGACTCAGGAATTTCCGACTGGTGAGTCACAATCGATAATCAAATATGTAAAATAAAATTTCACAATGACATGTAAGGAGACATTTACTTCCTAAACTTGAAAATAAACAACACGATTGGAGACCAAATTAACTACAACGGATGTAGCCTAAATACATATCAGTCCGCAACATGTTTTACAGGATGATCAATAATTTTGAAGCAATGCCTCAAGGCGTAAAAGCAATCCTTTTTTGGCACTTCAATATGATTCAAGCATATGATCAGGAATAAACACGAATAACAATTGATTCACAATACAAGTATACAATATTCCCAGCATGAAATAGACTCAAGAATTACAGAAATTGCCCAAATTAAAACCAAAATTACAGAGACTCACCCATATCCAGGCAAATTAACAATATACCAACTCTTGTTGATTAGAAAATGATTGATAAGCTGAGTCTTCCCTGCATATAAATTCAACAACCTAATCAAACACAAAGTTAACAAAACAAATGAAATCACAAGTATGAATCATATGCAAATAACCCCAACAGCGAATTACCCCTATTCATAATTGGTTGGACGGTTCATATTCAACTAAATCAAGCAATATTCAACTAAATCAAGCAATATTCCCCAGAAAAATTATTTACAAAGATCATCCAAATCAGTTATTGCGACACATACATGATAAATGCAGAATGAATGATAATAAATTCAATAATTAATATCAATTAAACAGAAAATCAGAAATAATAATCAATATCAATTAAACAAAAATTATAGGGCTCAACTACTCAACTCAAATAGTCAAATATCCGGTCACAACTTCAGTTTCTAGAGGAAAAATTCCCAAATCGGCTAATTAAAACCAATCTTCAGTTTCTAATCGGCTAATCATATTAAAATAAATCGTTTGGGACTTAAAAATTATAATGAAGACAATTAGACAAAACTATAACTAAACACAGTCAAAAGACTCAAAACCAATCTTCAATTTCTACTTTTTTAGACGAAATTGTTTAGTTTAAGCAAACAAAATGATTATACAGATAGCAAGTACTTTATTTGAGCACAAATTCCACATAAATTAAGCTAATTAAACTTCAAAACAATCCTTATTCACACAAAAATCAGCTAATCCTGACTACCCATTAGTAGATAACAAAACCCCTTCAACTTTCCGAGCAAAAACTGGCACAAAACACAAATTTAAACAAAAATGACATAATTAAATCAACTATAGAAAACCTACATCAAAAATCCCCAAATCGTAAATTAAATTAGGCAATTAGCAAATGAAAAACACACATGAAGCCAAACACATTCAAAATTCTAGCTACTTTGCATATCTATAAGCACAAATCGAACCTCACCAGTCACCATCGCTACTCTCCACCACCACCAACAGTTACAAATCGAAACCCTAGAAATCGAAAAAAAATCAAAGATTTGAACTAGTAATTATGCAAAGAAACCTTAAATTTGAAATTTAAAGGGGAAAGTTTAAAGAAGCTCATACCATGAACACCAAAAAAATCCTAGAAATCAAACCACACAGTCGTTATCTCTCACGACCACCATGAGGCATTAGTGAATGAGGAGGGAGAATGAAAGGGGAACGCGAAATGTGGTTGCAGCTGCGGCGAGGAGAAGGTGAAAGGGGAACATGCTGAAGTTAGAATTTTAGTGAATGAGGAGGGAGAATGAAAGGGGAACGCGAAATGTGGTTGCAAACTTGCAGCTGCGGCGAGGAGAAGGTGAAAGGGGAACAGGCTGAAGTTAGAATTTTTTATTTTTTATTTTTATTATTTTTTTTTTTAAAAAAAAGAAAACTTAGAATTTTTTTTGGGCCCTGGTGAGTCACTTGACCCACCAGGCACAAGCCCAGGTCCGCCACTGTGTCTAGTCCCTACAAGTTTAATTTCATCTATTAATTGAAATGAAATCGAGAGACTAATAGAAATGTAAAAGGACTAACTAATAGAAACTTGAAGATCGAACCAGTGGTAGTTTATCAATGAACTTAGCAGCATTTGCAAGCTCAGCTGCTGCTCTTATTTCTTCAATTGTGGCACCATCTTTCCCATATGCAATGTTCTCTTTGATCGACGAGCCAAACAACACAGGCTCTTGATTAACTAACCCAATCTTTTGCCTAATCCATCTTAGTTGATATTCTTTTATGTTAATTCCATCAATCAAAACTTCCCCTGCTTGTGGATCATAGAATCTCTCTATAAGACTGATCACTGTCGATTTACCACTGCCACTTTGCCCTACTAAAGCCGCGGTTGTGCCACTTGAGATACTGAGAGAAAATCCATTAAATATTTTCTCGTCAGGTCTTGTTGGGTAACTAAAATGAACATCTTTAAACTCTATATCTCCATGAATGTCATCTAGTACTTTCCCATTGGGATCAAAAGGGTCAATATCTGGCTTTCGAGTAATGGTCTCGAACATCTTGTATGCTGCTGCTTGGCCTGCTGCAAATGCCGTCATGTTGGGAGATGCTTGCCCCAGTGACCTGCATCATGTTCAAATGTAATACATTTTTATCAAAGAACGAAAATCATACAAAATATGCTAAGATAAATGTAATAACAATATATATCAAGGTGCATGATAAGACATCATTCAAAGACTAAAATTGTGGACTTACATAGAACCAATAATGACGCCAATAATGACATTAATGACGTCGCCACCAGTGTAATCTCCATGGAGAATCCTCCTTGAGCCAAACCAAATGGCTAAGGCATAACTGCTAAAGATCACAAACGTCAAGACACCTAGTCCTACCCCTGTAATAACGCCTTCTTGTATACCTGAAGTATAGGCACTTGCAATTGCTTTATTGAATTTTTCAATAGCTTGTTTCTCTCCTGTAAATGAGGCCACCTAAAGAAGAATTTTGTTAAAATTCATGATCACATAAATGTACAGATTAGAATATAACTAAACTGTAAATACAGAGAGAAAAACATACAAATTTCCATATAATTCATGGAGAAACTAATTAAAATCCAACATATATACTCACAGTTCTTATTGAACCTATAGTTTGCTCTACAACAATTGCCGCCTTTGCATAAGCAGTTTGCCCCTTTGTAGCCATTCTCGAGAACATTATGGTCATTAATGCACCCGCACTTGCAAGAAATGGTATTACCGACAGCATAACAAGAGTAAGAAGCCATCCTTTGATGAATGCAACCACAAATCCTCCAAAGAATGTTGCTATCAGTTGTATAAATTGCCCTACCTAAAAACAGATAAATAAATTATAATATTAATCATTTCAATGCAGTTGTTTAGCATCTTGCTACAAGAATCAGATTATCGATGATAATAAGATAAGAGCTAAATATGTCACCTTCTCCCCAATGGCATCTTGTATTAGAACTGGTATCGCCGGACATCCTACCAATTACTTCTCCGGTAGTAATTTCTTTGTCAAAGAAGGCAATGTCTTGTCTTAGTATAGTTTTTAAGTACAAATTTCTCATTCTGGCTGCTTGTCTTTCTCCGGTAACCATCCAACAAGCTACCTCTGTCAGAAAACAAGTTAAAGATGTGCATTAGCAAATGTGTTACGTGTATACATAAAACCGGAACATATAAAAGAAACAAGGGGAGCTCTTTGAGTATCAAAAGCACATAGCCTAGTTTATCATTTTAGATTACTCGAATGAATGAAGGTTCATCCAAGAAGATTTTCCCAACAATCTAATAAGGCATTATAGTTGCTGACTTTCAAATAATAAAAACAATATAAATTGACAGCAAATAATAAGATAAAAGGATTAACAAGCTTACGAAGAAATGCAGCTACTAAAGCTCCAATAGCCAAGTAAGCAAAATTCAGAGATACCTGCAAATGTCAATGGTGAGCACACTTTGCTATTTGAAGCATATCAAACGACAGATGCAGAGTGCAGAACATTTTGACTGTGCAAACCACCCGTTCAATTAATTTTGTTCATAAATGGTGTGAACACAACTATTCATGAATTTGTCACAATATATTGTGGAATGAAGGTGTTTGGTTTGATCATAAAATGATATAGATTTGGAATATTGTGTAAAACTAAGATTGCATTGTTCTCGAACTTGATTCTTAATACCATGAGTCTGATTTGGATCACCTTTTTATTTATTTATTTATTTTTATGCTAAAAGTATTGAAATGAGACAACCCCGCAATATAAACACATGTTTATGAGTAATGAGACAACCCGCAATACAAACACATGTTTATGAGTCCTGTATATTAGGAGTTTGAAATAAAGATTTAAAAATCATAAAATTATCAACGAGACACATGATATGAGTTTTAATTATTCAATTCTAATTAAACATGTCTCATACTTTTAATTCATGAACCAAACACCCGATAGTAACGATGTTCGAATTGAGCTGTCACATTCCTTAATACAGTACACACTCCTTCCTAATTGGAATATCCCTTTCCCTTATGAATATGAGGAATTAGGAAAATTTGACAAGCAATAATTTCAACTTTTCAAGCACATTGAATAATAACATTTTACCTTAGATACAGCATGGATGACATCCTTGGTATTCTGATTTTGGCCAAAAGCATTAACTAAGTCACCCACAAGGATTGCCATCAAGGGCATAGCTACACCATTTGCAATAGCACCAATGGAGCCAACGATCATCAATACCTTATCAGTAGAATCGGCGAAAGCAAAGAGTTTGTAGATAGGGACTTTGTTACTAGTCTCATTAGTCTCTCCCTTTTTGCTTTCATTTTCATTCGGATGTGTTGCATCCAAAGCCGACGTTGTTGTCTCATCAACTCCGTTATTCATCTTGTCCATATCAGTAACCTATTCCAAAGACTAGAGAATTGAGGGCTGTCCTTGGCTCTTAGCTAGTTACCTGGAATATTCATAAGTAATAAATAATGAAACGTGACATGCATGTATGCATGAGATCCATGCTGGATGATGATGGCCGGATGAGAAAAATGGTTTATAATTGGATTTTCTTATACGTCTTATGTAATGCCTCGACTTTTAAACTAAGGCACTAGTATTTAGATTTCTACCTATGTTTCATATTATTTGCAATTTTGAGGTATTATTTATGAGATATAAAATATTATAAAGTTGCAAATAATATGAAGTAGAGATAACAGTATAGTAACTAAAACCTATGGTGCGTCACATGTTGTACCTTTTTTAAGGGAGATACAAAGCGACATAATAACCTCATAGTTATCTAAACTAGACTATTACTTCATAATTTCTTGTGTTCATTGAGCTGTAACTAGATATTTGATTGTGTGTGTTTGTAAAGGTTAAAGAAACTCAGTATGGTAATCAGTGAGCTTATTATTATGGTTTGGCAATTGCAATACCATGGTATATTGGTATGTCTATTGGAGGAAGATAATCGGGTAAATCTATAATTGTTGTGAGTAACTTTAATTTAATTGGTGGCATGGGGAAGTTTTTCACATTTGGCAATTGGCAAACAAGTTTGACCATGGAAGACTTGCATGGAATCAAGTCACGTATTCCATAAAACTGTACTTCCAGTGTACCGTTCTTAATTTTTGGTTTTTTTTTTTTTTTTTTTTTTTTTTTTTATTTTTTTTTTTATTATTATTTTTTATTTTTTATCGTGGACTCAAAATACATCAACCTTAACAATGTTACTATGTATTCTCATTGATTTATAATAAGAGAAATATAATCATTTGAAATTTTCATTGATTTCTTAGGATATAAAAGTTAATTTTCAGAAAATCTACATGTACATTTTAATAATGATACATACTTAATTAAAATTTAAGTACAATTTTATGTAGTCAAACATATTTCTATGAGACCCTGAAAAATGAAAATACTGCCAACAAAATAGGACAGAGAAATATGTGGACCATATTCAGATATTCTAGACTTTTGTAGTGTTTTAATGTTTACATGCAAATAAATTTTGATAAACAATAGTCATACATGTAGGACAATTAATCCTGAATATGGAATACCTACTTCAAATTCAAGATCCACCCCACCCCCCCCCCCCCCCCAAGAAAAAGGAATACCTACTTCAAATTCAAGATCCTAAACGGCTAAACCTGATGGAATAAATCTCCAATAGCCCAAATTGGGCCATATAAATAGTTAATAACCACACATCTTCCTATAATTATGATCCTAAAAGGCTAAAACATGACTTTAGGAAAAATAATTTCAAAACTTTTTTTAGGATTAGAACAAGATACTCCGTACAACCTATTTGCATATATGAAGTATGTAACTCTTGCCATCTCTTAGTAATTAATCCTGTATTCCTACCACCAATTCTTTCTCTTTTGCTTAAAATACAAAAAAAATAAAAAAAATAAAAAAATAAAAAAAAAATAAAAAAATAACACTACCTTGAAATTAAAGAAAATGGCTTTCTGCTTCTCCTTTTTACAGCAACCCACGTTTCTGAGTAGACTTTCATTTTTCTCCCATTTTCTGCCTAATTTTATATTGTTTTCATATATACTCCAAGTTACCTTCTTTGATATGCTTTCGATGTTTATATCTATGTTTTTCTAGTACTCTTTAATTGTTATGATGGTCCTTAACTCCTTAATATATGCATGATTTTGGTATATAGTTTTTTAGAGGAGGTGCTTAATTTAATATTAGTCAAACATTTTAGTTATATAGTAAGGTATTACAATGAGTTATTTATTGAAAAATAATGTTATAGTATTTGTCATGCGACTTTAAGACTTGTGGAGCAAACTTTTAAATCCTATTGGCTAGATTAGCTAAGCCTATAGATCA